TCTACTGGAAAAATGTTAAGAACATGCTTTATTGTAGTTTAAATGAAATGGAGAACAAATATTTCCACAAAATTAAAAGGGCTAAATTTTATTTAAGCACAAGTACGTACCTACCAACGTATAAATCCCATGTAATAACCGAGGCAATTTTCTGGTAAGGTGTGACAAATAACTTTTCAGAGTGTTATATCTTTCACCGTGGAATATAATTAAGTTATTAAAAGTGAAATATGTAGCCCCTGGGTCGCTAAAAGTTACCCTGGCTAGTATGATTTATACGAACTGCGTGTTTATCTGTTGAATATTTCCGTTAATGTTGTGTTTCGTCCCAAATAATTTTACACTGCAAATAAATAATGTAAACATTAAAAAAAAATTAAGACACTGATCGATTTGTTTTCAACGTGTCCTTTTTATATAGATGTATAATATATAACATAAATGTACCACATGAGGGTATATTTGTAATTTATAATCTGTAATACGATTTCCAAAAATTTTTGTTGACATTGAACCCACTAATATAGTTGAACCTTTTTTACAACTTAAATTATGTCATCACTAGTTAATAATATACTTTAAAAGTGTTTTGTGTTGTATATAACTAATCTTTAGATCTTTAGACTTTGTAATTAGACAAACTACTTTATGACCTTGTGCTAAACTTTATCAAAATATTTTAAAATAATTTTATGAAAAGGTTTCAAAATAAGTATGAAAGAATCAGGTTAAGGTTATATACAGTTTTAGGATTGTTTTTTTATTTATTGAATTAATTGTAATTTGACTTATCAATCATGCTATGTAGTTCTTTATACAAATGACTTTTGCCTGTGTAGCTTTACAAAGACGATACTCCATTACTGCGACAATACCTCCAAGATAAGGCTGAAATTGCCTCGCATTGTTAGAAATTGACGGCGTAAAATATCAAATTCGTTGACATCAGATTACAGGTGACATTTTTGATTAAATTCAACATCAATTATTTTATAAAGGGATAATGTTACGGGAAAAAAATCAACAGAAATGTTGATAGTTTTTATGAATCATAAGGTCGACGTTAACACAGATATTTTAACCAATTTGATTTACTTGCACGGCTTTTCACCACTGATACTATACATTTTGTTGGTGCTGAACTTTTTTAAATATTTAAGATTTACATTTTAAGCACCATTAACTCCTGTATCTGTTTTAGAAACGAAACAACATCAATTTAAAGCAAAACATGCCATAAAAGAATGATGAGGATTAAGATGTGTAATTTGATCAACACTTCTTTGTATTTCATATCTAGCACTTACACATAAAAACGTTTTTAGTGAAGGGTTGTGATTTTCAAAATAAAACAAAGCTGTTCTGTCTCGACCAAGACGGTGAAAACGAACAATCTTAAAGCTATCACATTTCATTTTGTCCCAATTTACCTCCTAGGCCATTAAGCTCTAGCCTGAATCCAGTTTTCATATTATATCTTGGGCTAGAGAGACGTGACACTTTAAAATGGCTAAGGATAATTTGCGATAAGCTGGATTTTAACCCGGCACCCCGATGACCTGAGCCTTGTGCTCTACTATTAGACTAGCAGATTCCCTGAACTCTTGAGTTAGAGAGTACAGTGAGTACGTGTGGTTTTGTCAGGCCATGGTGATTCATCCTGAGTATAATACGACGTCATAATCATACTTAATAAAATTTCCCTCAGTGTATGTGCCATAAATTATAATTATTAGTTCACAGTCCGATGGAAGACAATTAATTTATATTCTCAGTAATCCTTATCAAGAAGTTTTAATAATGTTTTTACGGGTTTTATTAGACTACTTTAGCTCATTTTTTATCATTAATGAAAAAGAAAATATTAATGTTTTTTTTTTTTTTTTGCTAACTGTAACAATTAAAACTTAAACATCTAATGAATATATAAATCTTTTCAAATGGGAAAAAAAACTAACACGATTTCTACTCTTTATCAAAATACGGCTAATACGGCAGTAAGGCGAAAGCCTTAAAAACTTCTACGAGTGTCGTTAGCACTATTTACGATAGTTGCGTACACTACTTTACAAACGACAGTGCTTTAATAACCAAAAATCCCAACTCATAACTTCTAAGAGAGGTTATGTTTTCGTTTATAACCTCTCATTGCCACTGACAGTGATGAAACGAAACAATGTACCAAACACTAATTGCACCAATCAACAATTAAATTGGCCTGAACAGCTGATTAGTTGAAGTTCAAATAATTTAATTTTACTTCTTTTCTCTCAATCCGTGAACCTCATTGGTCCGTTACCCGTGTTGATATGTAGAACGACAATGCTGTTAAGTAAGTAAACAATGCTGTTATGTGAAACTTTTCAATTCTAAGAACTGAACTGAAACGGCTACTTTAAAAACGGTAGGGGGTAAAAATATTTTCAAAATATTCAGAAAGGTTTTACAACTACAATTTAAAATCCCTTATTTAACAGAAGGAGAGTTAATTTATTGGGAAGCTAAGAAGTAAATTTTCTGCCAAATTATATATATTCACTGGAGCGACACTGAACCAGCTAAGTAAAAAAGTTGAGTTAATCGTTTTCATTTTAAACCTTTTATGACACGTTGGAATTTTAATACAATTCCACATGTATGGTTAAAGTGAGTAATAGCAATGGAATTACAAGTTTTATTCGTTAATTTTTTGTTTGTTTTAACGTCGTAGTTTCAAATTCATTTGATAAAAAAATGTATATGTTTAAGTATAAAAGACTAACTTTGATATAACTATAATATTAATGTTTTTGTAATCATGAAATATATATATATATACATTTATGATATTATCTATAATTATGTTCACATTGTCAAAAAGTATTTATTCGTATTTATGAAGGCCATGTATTTTAGTTATGAAACAAATACTACAAATAATGTTAAACCGCGCTATTATCTCGTGTTTGTCGTTGAAAACTGCTTGGTTTTGTTTTATTCAATTTGTCGTAATTAAATTATCAAAAAATAAACTTTCTACGCTACAATTACAAAGTCAATATATATGAAAGTGTACAGAGATAAACATTTTACTAAAACATTTCCAAATAAAATATAATCTTCTTAAAATTATACATACTAAAAAATTGCAATCAAAACATTAGAAGTGATACAGCAACAAAGTGAAATAACGACCGTTAAAAATTATTTGCAGAATAGGTATTGTTAATGGTTAAAACCATGTGTGCTCATTTTGTTTAATATGATTTAGTAAAAAACTTAACTTGTATTGCTATTAACGGGATGAATTGTATAGCCAAGATAAAACCATAAATATTAAGCTTGCGAGTCCTTAATTAACCTTACAGCTGCATTATAACCTTTCAACACCTCGACTAAATCTTCCCCTTTGAAGGATGGCACAACGGCAATTTACAAACCTTATGTTGAACGCCTAACCCTTGATGCCATACGTGCTATGTTTCTATTTTCTTGATTATTCTAATATACACCTTAATAAAATAGTTGTTATAATAATTAAAATTATAAAATTATTTGTGTCCATTTATCAAAAGAATCCTACAAAATCAGCTATATTTTTATCGATGCATTAATTTGGTATATTATAAATTTTTTTTTATTGGCTTAAAGTAGTAATTATTGGTTAGTTGTTTAATGTATGATAAATTTTTGTGCATCACGAGTTTTATTACCAAATTGTAACTGTAAACAATTACTCAAATGTGTGGTTAACTATGTACTATACAAATTTAATACTTACTTAATGGACCATAACGTTTCGAATGATATATAAAATGGTATTGCCAAAGTTTTCTCATGTTTTAAAATATTAAACACGCAAATTGATATTAAGAATTTGCCGATTATTGTGGATTAAATATATTATGTAAAACGTATGTAGAAACATTAACACTACTACTCACTTTTATTACCGGATGCAGAAGACCAAATCCTTGTTCCATTTCTAGGATCTTCATAGTGCTTTTTTTTGCTAGCTTGTAGGTAGGCTTAATCTATGTTCATCTTGCTTCACTATATACACTATTTACATATATACATGACACATGTATTCCCTGATGATAGGGGATATGCCTGGTAAACTATTATACATTAGTCTATACCGTAAATGAGTAATATTAAGTTCTCTCAAATTTGTATTACGTAGTTAATTCAGATTATACTTACATGGAATCTATATATATAGTTTACTTTTGTTTTCGACATTCGTCTAGGTTTCATATAAGTACTTTTATCCATAAACATGTTTTGAGGAATGGGGAAATCGTAAAAGAATTGTTGGTTATAACTAAACAAGTGAAATTTTTTAGTTAACAATGTTATAAGACGAGCTTTTTTGCTATCGTGTTATCATTGATCACCGTTTGAAATAAGAGAGCATGTTATTTTACTACTGTTCAACCCTTAAATGCAATCCAGGATTAATTAATTGTGAAAGCAGATAAAAATGTAAAAGTCAAGATATGTTTATTTCTATTGTTACAAGTCGTCGTTTTCAATACAATGCATTTCGGAATAAATAACTTCATACTTATGAAAATACGCTCCATTCAGTGAGGCGAGGTTATTACCCACCATATACCTTTTAACCAATATATGCTTACTACATGGCATGCCATGAATACATGACGCTGCTCAAATAATTCGAATACTTATGCCCTACTCAAATAAATACTTTTTGATTGCATTCCGTACGTGACTGTATAAAATACTTACCCAATACTGTGATATCAGTCCGGTGAAATATATCACAGCACAAACTAGAGACTTTTACGTATCCCTTTACCCTTCGACCCTTAAATTGTTCTCTGGCTTAACTAATTATAAGTATAGATAAAAATAATTCAATCAAAATATTGACTTAACGGAAAAAAGTACCGTTTTATGATAGGCTTCACTAATTAATTTTTTGGGCTGTTATTACCCTAGCTGAAAAATCTAAATTGGGCCAGGTAGCTATACTGATTTGTATATACTTTGCAGTGCTAATATTTTTATTTTCAACAAGAATTGTCTTACTTCATATGCATTGTTGTTAACATTATTGTCGTGGCGTAAAAGAAAATTCGATCTTTTTCTCGCAGTCTGGACGTTCTAACAGTTTCTCGGACGGGTCACGGCAGCGAGGGTCAGGATCAGTGTCACATATAATGCATTCCATGTTTTTCTTGCAGCCGTAGATACCCTCTTTCCAGTCTGTTCGTCCGAACCCCATCCATTTCTTGCGACAAATAGCACATACTTCACCAATTTCTCCTACGTTACGCATTGCTGTTGTATAATCATACCCTCTTGCACATGGTTTCGACTTTTCGGAAAGAACTATTAAGGTTGTGCCTGAAAAACATAAATTAATCTGCTGTGAAAACTATAGTTGATGAAATTTCGTATGCGTTGATAAGCACCCATGAAATAATTATCTTAGTTCTTTTAAGTAATTGATTGTTACAGTTTTGACCTCAGACAATCCCACTTCAGATATAAATGATTAAATGACTTAAAACCTTTCTTCTGCTGTCAAGTCTTTCTTTGAAAATGACATCTCTGTGACTGCTAAGTGACACTTATTTCGTTACAGTTTTAATGTACCTCGTTAGGTAATGTTACTTATAGGAATACTAAAGAATGGTACTTAACAATCAGATATAGTGGTTATCCAATAGTTAAATTTGTTTTACAATCGTGTTCGTTTTAGCATAGACAAAAGATGATTAAATATAGAATGGATATCATATGTTCTGGCGTCCACCGCTAGGAGCGCCGTGTAGTTAAGGCGCAACGTAACCACACAGCACTCCTAGTGGTGGATGTCAGAACATATGCTATCCGCAGCCCTGCTGTCGGGCTATATTAAATTATATTGGGCTATAGTTTAAGTTGAAGAGAAGAATGAATGCAAACGCAAGGCTGTGTGGGGAATCGTTCAAAGATGAAATTCATGTAAGAATTCTGCATTCCAATATATTTTTTCAATATTTTGCAAGAATATAAATTGTTGAGAAACTCTATAGATCAATAGTTAAGATTCCATTAGTTATTGAAATCCAAACAATATTTAGATAGATGGTGAATAGATTGTTCTACAATAGTGATTTAGTTCACTAAACCAAAAGGAAAAATATGCTTCTTTGTAAACAGAGCCTAAGCACAAGTAGGGCGCGTTATTTACAAGGATATTAAAGTGATATCGAGACCACCGATGGTCTTTACGATTCACTTTCAAGGTACCATAAAACGAGAATTTGTCTTTTATACATTGTAACAATACAATAATACGAATCTACGCTCAACAAATTGTTAAAGTTCTACAAGGAATATTATGTTCTTCCTTTAATGAAGAGTCCAATCAAGGACTTTGAAGACTAAATTTGCATTAAAGAATTTTCTTGGGATGAATTAACGAAATAAGATGACAAAGATAAGAAATTTAGATACAATTGATATCTATTGATTGTGCTGCTACTCAGGTACACTCGTAAACACTAAAAAAATGAATTAAGGATCGGAGCTTAGTCTTGTATAAGTATCAAATATCAACGGTCTGGAAAGGTATAGACTACGAAGAAATAGTGAATCAAGAATTATTAGTTGGAGTTTCTAAAGTGGAATATATGGTGAAGTATACTAAAATATACGTCAAATTTTAGTAATGTGTAATTTATTGACTATACTGTATTTACTTTCATGAGCTTAAATATGAATATAATAAATCATACACAATCACAAATAATATCTTAACATGAAGAATGTTGTCTATGTCTTTAAACTTTAAACACTATTTAAATCCTGCAATAATGATGTTTGCTCATGCTGTTTAGTAAGTAATTACTTATAAACTATTATTATTTGAAAATGCCAATGGGTAAAAAGTACTTACATAGTATAAGCACGAAGAGACAAATGTAGTTCATTCTCCTAGGTGGATAGATTTCTCATTGAAACGCCACAACTTGCAGCTACATACTCATTTATAGCTGGAATGTTAGAACACCTGTTAAATGACTGAACACCTAATAATGATCGCAATTAACTGTTGCTATCCAATTTGCTACAAATTACATGATACTATTTTGAGCCTAACTGCTACAACTTTCATATTATTTTATCTCTTAGTAAAATTCATAGTATTGAATTGTACGAAGTTCACTTTTGCATTTAGTGTACGTGAAAAGGATGAGGATTCAGTTCATCTAACAAGACCCGCAATATTCTGTAGACAAAGATGTAAGGAAGGGAGGACGCCGTATTATTATTTTTTAATTTGCTTACTAAGACAGAAGAGCTCCTTAAATTTGTATATCCTATGCAACAAGTAAGCGCCTAAGGTGCGAGGTAAACACTCTATCCAACTAGATACCCAGTTTTAATAATATATTTTTATTTGTTTTTTATGGGTACCTTACTAAACAGGTTGACCATTCGAAGGGAAGAAGTTATATCTAGTGATGTTATAATTAATTATTAATAAGACTATTCAACATGGTGACTGTCAATTAATTAAATCGTATTGAGTCCCGTGTTTAATAAACACTATTTGGATTATTATATTCATAAAAAACTGTTATTGCTTGATGTACATCAGTAAAATTTGACATTTATCACATATAACACCACAGGTGGGGTACAACAAAAGGAAACCCAAACGCTGAGAGCTATTTCATGAATACTACAACAATGATCGATCAGCTGATCGTCAAAAATTGTAGAAAGTGTTGTTTCTTTTACATTTTAGCAGTTTTCACGATAGCCACGCCGCAGCACGGTATTCAAAATCGTGTTTGGTGTATTGAATAATATTTCAGAAGCTGTGGAACGTATCGAAATCATGGGCCGTCATTAGCAGCTGTGAGGGAAAGGTTTGAAGAACATTGCAATCTACCAGCACCGACTAAGCCATTTTATCATGGGTTGGAAATTCAGGGGCAACGGATACGTGACAAACAGTAACAAAGGAAATTCCGTCAGACGAAGGACAACAAGAAGCATTGTGAACGTCGGTCAAGTATTTGATAAGATTCTTCAATCACCGAAGAAAAGCACGAGAATTATTTCAATAGAGACTAGAAAAAACGGGTGTGATTAGAATACAAAGTAGATTGGAGCACGATCGTATCGTATTCAGATAATCCATGAGTTAAGACCCACTGATTTCCAGGTGCGTATGGCCTTTTGTACTCGTGTTTTGGCATATAGCTATGCCATTCCAGATTACGTTGATGATTGGTGGTAGGCCTATACCAAATAATGTCACGTGCTGCTTAGTGGACACGTGACCAAACAGAACACTCGATTTTTAGGGTGGAAGAAGCCAGAAGAATCTATGCAAATGCCATTTCATCCCATGGCTTCATTGTACCCTATTTAATTGAAGACAACAATGAAAATCCGTTGACAGTTATGGTGAGGATTACATAAACCAAATAATAGAGAGATCCCATGCAGATTTGCAGAACTTTTGAATATTGTACATTGATTTTGAGAAACAAATATTCACGCTAGACAGAGCGACACTCCACACTAGTCATCAACATCAGACCTCTTCAACAACTGTTTCCAAAACAAATGGTTTCAAGGGGGACAAATTTCCCCTGTCCACCAATAAGTCGAGATCTTACAATCTGTGATGCATTTTTTGGGAGAATGCTGAAAGAACTGTTTTTTAAACCAACCCCAAGAAGCATTAAACAACTGAAAGACAGCATTTGACGGGTGTTCAGAGAGATTTACACCCCACAGTGCTCTGAGATGGCCTGCAAGATCATGGACCGAATGGAATATGTTGTTACTAACGAAGGACGACATGTAGAACATGTTTTTGTTTAGTTAATTAAATGTAAAGTTTGTTTTATTAAACTATAAATAATTTATTTATGGGTTTATTTTTTTTTGCACCACCCAGCATGATGTTAACCACATAGTAATTGATATATGTGATAACAAAACTATAACTAACGTTTGGAACAAAAAGTTTAGGATCTAGTATGATAATTTTTTTTATTTTAATTTACCATCATAACTACGGAATTTTATTTAAATAAATTGACTGGCTCATACATACATTTTGTAAATCTTACTAATATTATAAATCTGAAAGTTTGTGAGTTTGTGTGTTGCTCAATCACGCATAAACTACTGGACGGATTGGGCTGAAATTTGGCATGATGATAGCTCACATTCTTTATTAACATTTAGGCACATTCTTATCTCAAAAATCCTTTCGGGCTCCGCCCCAGTGGGTCTCTAGTTTCCCATGTTAACCTTATGAGTATTCTTATTTAAAGGGAATTAAAGAATTTAGTCAGCTGTTTCAACTTTACAAGTTGTTTCTATAATATGCAATAGCATTAAAAAGTTATAAGGTTTCCCAACAGGGTGCAGCACTATTATTATTTTGTTTGTGCATATATGACAACAGCAAATTTGAACTAAGCAGCAACAAAAAGCTGTGATACACAACAAGAACTGTCAAAGTAGGATTGTTTACAGTTAGGTTTGAGTTTTTAATTTAATGAATAATTTGTTATTGTGCGAATGTTTGATAATTTATTTTTTCTTTTGTTTAGGTGCAATGGTAGAACATTATAGCAATGGTAGATGTGTTATACTATATCATACCGTAAATTTATGAACCAAATTTTATCAAACTGTGTCCTCCCCCCATTGTAAACGCAAAGCTTGAGTATAACTGCAATAAGCATTTTATACTTATATGCCAACCCCGTACGAAGGACGGGTGCTCTGCTAGTACATACATATTTTGCATTATTGATACATTTTGGCATTGGTATTGGCTGTTATTTTTTTGCGCTGTCCCCTTTAGCCTTTCTCAAGAAATTGAAAATGATAAAGGCCTCTTCTTCTTGCTCGTTTTGGAAGTGTATAAAATATAAGCATAACACTTTATTGAGGATTACATCATGCAGTTAAGACACTTTTTGTGGTTTATTTAGTATTTAAATTAGTCCCTTCATTACTACAATGACTACTCTTTTTAATTATTACGATATTCTGTTTGTTTTTAAGGTCAATTAATTCACATCAGTTCAGTCAACATTGACTGATGTTCCATCACAGTATAGTCACAGTTCAGTCTCAGTTGCATCCGCAGTCAACTGTCCGTCAGTTGGTGTAAAGTGATGTTACAGTGAAGAACTTTTAATTAAAACACAACATGCAATCAAATTTTCACTGCCCATCTTGTTGATTGTTACAAACAGTACTTAAAATAATGAACACAGTTATTTTTAATAAAGAACAAATATTTATAAGAATAGCTTGTAACTTAATACTAGTTTTTTTTTCTTTTTTCTACTGATATAATACACTTCTCCAATATATTTATTATTTAATAAGAATCATTTTTCATCATATACATTTTTGTATACTCATACTTATTTTTGTCTCTTCCCTACTTGAATCTGTTCCGTACAGCCTTCTTCTCTAAGTTTATCGGCTGTGTGGCAAGTAGCGTAGTAATCTAATCCACACAATACACATTTCAAGTCTTCCTCGCAGCCGAAGGTAGCGTTGTCCCAGTCTGATTCCCCAAACCATAATTTCTTGCGACAAATAGCACATGCGTGACCTTTTTCTCCTACGTTAGGCATAGCTGTTTCATACTTGTACCCTCTTGCACATGGTTTCGTCGGTTTGGAAAGAACTATTGAGGTTGTGCCTGAAAAAAAGATTGTTGCTGTGAAAACTATAATAGATGAAAAGTCGTATGCGCTGACAATCATCCGTCAAATAATTATCTTGGTTTTTTAAGTTTTGCGACGGTATTGACCTCAGACGCCACTTCAGATATAACGGAGTAATAGATAGATTACTTAAAACTTTCATTCCGTTGTCAAGTCCTTCTTTGAAAATAGCAGCTCTGTGACTGACTGATAAGTGACGCTTATTTCGTTACAGTTTCAATATACCTCGTCAGGTGTTGCTAATTATAGGAATACCGTACTAAAGAATGAGACTAAACAACGTCAGAAACAGTGGTTATCCAATAAAAGCTAAATAAACGGGTAACTGTGACTGCCTCGTGATTCCTCTGATCCTATACTGGACTACGCGTTACAAGGTATTAGCATCATCATCATATCACAAAACTTGAAGAAACTTAAATCATTCTTGAATTGGTCACGTCAAATTATAAAAAAATCACACAAAATATTTAAAAAATTTAAAAAACTGGACAACAACTGTAGGCCTACAAACACTGGTGCATGATGGGTGCCGAGTCTTGATTGGTGCAAGAGCTGAACTTTGTCCCCTAGCTGACTTTATTGCGATCCCTTTCCAGCTTGATTAGTGATTCGAATAAAATATTTGTTTGTAGAGTACTTTTGTCATTCTGTCAGTACTCTGATTGTCAAAAATGACACAAGTAATCTACAAACATATAACTGATTCGAATCAAGTTGCACAAGAACCGTGATAAAGGCAGCCGGGGAACAAAGTTCAGCTCTTGAACAAGTCGAGATGATGATGGTATAATGCATTGAAACGCGTAGTTCAGTATAGGAGCAGAGGAATCACGAGGCAGTTACAGGTATTTTAAACTTTTTGCAATAATATTATCGAAGTGATTCGGAATAAACAACACAAAAGTATACTGCTTATGTCTTAAACTTGAAGAACTACTTAAATCCTGCAATTATGATGTTTGCTCATGCTGGTTAGTAGATAATTACTCATAATCTATTATTATTTAAGAATACCAATGGATAAAAAGTACTTGCCTAGTATAATCATGAAGAAATAGATGTAGTTCATTGTCCTAGGTGGATAGATTTCTCATTGAAACACCACAACTTGCAGCTACATACTCAATGAGTATTTAGGTTAGCATTTATAGCTGGAATGTTAGAACACCTGTTAAATGAATGAACACTTAATAATGGCAATTAACTATTGTTGTCCAATTTGCTACAAATTTCATGATACCAGTTCATGAGCCTAACTGTTACAACTTTTACAAATCACGTTATTTTATCTAGTAAGACTTCATAGTTAAATTGTATGAAATTAGTTTTTGCAAGACATGTATATAAATGGATAAAAGCTTCAGTTTATCACTGATAAATTTAAGCTGTACTATTCTACCAACTAAGTTTTAGAGAAGTGTCATACGTCATATTATTCTTTCTTGTTGTTTTTACTAGACATTTATATTACAATCATGGTAATTTAAATATCTAGTAATTTAAATATTATGGTAATCTTATATCTATTAAAAGATTATAATTTTACCCTTAAAACATAAAATTTTAAAATTTCTCTCTGAACGATTTTGAAAAATTAAAAAAAAACAAGTAATTTAGTAAATTGAAGTTTTTTTTGCATAGTTATTGGATAAAATAAAGTGTTTTTTAATGTCCGTGTTATTCTTATGGAGAACAAGTAAACTGTTGTAGTTTGCTTGATTATGGATATAATTTTCATCAAACTTAGCAAATGTTTTATTTTTATTTGCCTACTACTAACTTAGCTACTCCTTGAAGCAGAAATACCTAGATACTCTTCAACATAATGTTTTTGTAATATATTTTAGTGAAAATGCAATCAGTCAAAAGAAAGATTGCCTATAGTCTGCAGGTTTGTCTTGGCGGGTGGCTTAGTGAAATTAATATGTACAAATAATTTACATGAAAATCCTAAATTAATTAAATATATTGAATGGCTTTTAACACGAACTATTTAGATTTTAATGGTCATAAAAAAAAACATTTTTAGTTGTTCAAAGTACACTCATGATCGGTAAACTTTGAATAAGTTTACTAATTAAATATGATGAGAAAATCAAATATTTAAATCAAAATGAATTGTTATTTATTATAATTTGTTACGAAATTCGTTCTAAATATAGACTGTTTATTGGCTGTTATTTTTCCGTTCTCCTTCGTTATGAAGCTCAAAAAAATTTAAAATAATTATGACTTCTTCCTCTCGTTCGTTTAGGAACTGCACAAGTTAATAACAAATTTGAGTGAGAAATACACCATGATCAGCCTAGACAATTTTTCACAGTTTATTCACCATTAAAACTTAGACACTTTATTATATAAATTACTTCCGATATTTTTATAGTTTCATGCATTTAATTCAAAAAATTGTATATTTGACCAATAATGACACTAAAAACGCTATACTTTGAATACAGCTAGCTGTCCTATTTAAATTTAAATCTTTCCCTACCATAGTCTGTCCTTTTTTGTTCTATTTATTAACACTTGTTGTAACACTGATTATAAATACGTAATATTTAACGAATGTTTACAGCACTATTTTAGATTTATTTTTCCTCTTTTTACAAGTAAGATTTGTCATTCCGAATTAAATCATCCCACGTATCGTTCAATTTATTATTATTATTAATTATTATATTATTTATAAGTTAATTTATAATTAAATGTGAGTAAATACTAACAAAATCAAAACGAATCAACCAATCCAACGTACGCAAATCCAGGTGGACTTGCATTAGCATTGAAATTGTTCTGTAAATCTCAATATCACATCCCTTCGGGTCAGTCGGGTCACAACTCACCTAATTGTGTGATGCAAAACCCAATCGTGCAAATAATCTGTATGACTTACGATATTTAATATGACTAATGTTTAATTTACATTTACATTTAATTTAATTTATATTACATTGTTGTAATATATAAAAATCTGTATTACGTAACTAAAATATGAAATAAAAGGTTACTAAATGAATGCAGTATTTTTTAGTATACATAAGATTTCTTGAAATTGCAATGAACCAATGAATTTGTACATCCAAGATTAAGAAGTACAAATAACCTTGTATAAAAGACTCTACAAGCTAAATACTGCATGGTAATGGCACATTTTATGGTATATTTTTTAGTTTCGAATATGGTTGTTTTTAAAAACCTATATATATATATACATATATATATGTACATATATATATACAAAATATACATCTTTGTATAATATACACCTAATATTAACGTTTATTTTACGTACAATTAATTTTAACCCTCACGTAATCTGTTAAATCATCAACACAAATCTCGACCACTGTTTGGGTGCGACACTATATCATGGTTGACAATGTTAAACTATGGCAAATCCGTTATTGTTGCGTTGAAGGGTCATCCATTATACACTGTGTAACCCAACGTTAATTCAAGACCATTATCCTTTTTGTCTATTTGCCAAGCTACAATCATATTTAAAATTATGTCGAATACGATTGCTCATTAACTACTACCTTATTTTGGCATGTTTACGAGTTACATCACAAAATATTTTAAAAAATATTTAAGTATGCCAGGGAACCTAACTCAATGACGCTAATCATTAAGTTGCAATCATCGATCTCTATTATTGGTTGCAATACACCACATTGTACGGCAAAACTGCAATTTTGTTTTTAGAAATCATATGAACTACTTATTATACTGTATATTGGGATATTACAATAGGCCTTTGCTGCAACAAAAACGAATGTTCGGTACTTTTCGGTTTTTTTTTACTTTTTGGTATTGTTCGGTTTTTTATAAAATCATGTTTACATACGTTAAATAATTATTCAAACGCCAATTGTAACTAAAAATGTATGATTCTGTCAATAATACATAGACCTTTTTTCATTGAGGTAATATTCTTTTTTTATTTACTACATTTTAATACAAAATGGTGCAATGATCCTGGTTTAAGCCTACCCAGACATCTTTAGTAGGAAGACCAGAAGGTACGACGTGAAACAGGAAGTAATAGTAAATTATCATTAGTGTCCTCAGGTAAATAGATAATTGATTTATTAGTATCTGCTCTAGGGTATTTTATCAACAGTATGGCAACAACGTAATTTCAATCTATATGTAAACAGATTCTATTAATAAATTTAGGGGAGGAGCCATACATAGACATATATTGAATATTTCTAAATAAAAATAAACAACTAAAAACACGCACACGTGCGAAATCGATATTTATGCTTTTAGGACTATTATGTTACACTTTCATAAAATAAATTGGAGATGTTGGTTAAATAAACCAAAATGTTAAATGTGGTAAAACATAAATTTCAATATGCAATTTTCTTATTTTTTTTGCATACACATTAGCTGAAGTTCTCAACCCAAACTATTAGCTTAAAGTTTTTTATAAATGATTTTTATTTTGATAGCTTGATAAAAGCTATTACCCTATTATGCTTATGTCTTATGATGATTGGAGTGTCCAATTGAAATCACCCCTTACCATCTTTCATGTATATTTACCGCCTTGAGAGTTAACAGTAGGTATAAGTGTAAATATATGTTTTAAGTGTTATTAGACGTATATTTTGTTTACTAAACGAAAATTTAATAACGCGTACAATGCTAATCGAGAAACTATTTTAAGTTGTTTTAAGTGTTGTTAGACGAATATTTTATTTACTTAAAGTAAATTTAATAACACGTACAATGCTGTTCAAGAAGTTACTTAGACGATTAAAGTAAGCATAAGTATAAATAAACTAAATTCACATATATTCCACGATGACGTTCCACATAATCGGCTTATATGGTTTCACTGAGCTACTTTTAAAGTAAGCTACTTAAGTCTTGGTTTGGATTTTGAGCATTTTACGTTAGTGGTTAAACTTTCCTTGTTTCATTGGTTTAATCTGAGAGTAAACAAACTGGTTGGTTGGTTAAATTGAAATTTGGCCATATTCGGATTTGATGATTCTTGTTATTTTTATAAAAGTTGTAACATAAGAAATTGGATAGCACATGTAGTATTTTACCATAAATCTTTAATTAATATAGACTTTTATTTCACACATTAAATCAAATAAATGGAAACAGTTTAATTTCCCTACTCCTCAGTGATGTATAACATTCGTTATCTCATTAAAGACTTCTAAACCGTTTAACAGGCTTGATGTGCCAAAAGAGGCATACTCACAATGTTCTGTTGCTTAGAAAACCGTTTTCCGATATCTAGGATATCTAGTCTGATAATATTACCGTATTTAATGCATCATGTTTAGTGTTTAAGGTGACCATTTTACAATATTTTTCGCTTGTACTTGTAAAGCTATTTAATTTAAATCGGAGGTTATTTCACCAGAATAAAAATTCACTGAGTTCTTAAAGATCTCTAAAATTAGGTTTTCTAAGGATCATGTTTTGATTTAAACAAAATCATATTTCTAGATTTTGTCATTTTTATTTAGTAATTGAATTATCTAGTTATTTAGTTTAACAGGCTTTACTACAATGTCATTAAAACTTACGACCTTCGAGTTCACAGACAAGTTTGATAAAATATTCATGTCAGAAACAATGAGTCTTTTGTCAAAAGAAAACAAAGAAACAATTGTTTCGTTGTTATTGAAACAGACTCTAGAAACATTGGGATAACCCAAGAAAGTTAACACAACTTTAATCAGTAACTATCGAGAACTTTAAAAATACTCCCGCCACAGCAATCCTGCAGACTAAGCGAATTTCCATTTGCCTAATTGGATTTACTATAAAATATCTCCTTAAAAATGTCATTATTATTCCTGATTTAAATAATTCATTATTCCTGGTTTAATGAGTACTTAGGTTTGCTGCAACGGGGAGGGTAAAAAATTGTTTTTTGTGTGTTTGAAATGGTGATAGTTTAATATGAAATATGAAAATATCTCCTTAAAAATGTCATTATTATTCCTGATTTAAATAAGTCATTATTCCTGGTTTAATGAGTACTTAGGTTTGCTGCAACGGGGAGGGTAAAAAATTGTTTTTTGTGTGTTTGAAATGGTGATAGTTTAATATGAAATAAATACATTTTCCAAAATTGATCAAAATAACTTAAGATTTGAGAGTTGCTTT